GTATTTAGCCTCTTCACCTCATCTTGAGATGCTACCATCTGCGTATGGAGTGCCGCTATATCTTGAGTGCTCTGTAGATGCTGTTCAGCCAATAGATTTTCCTTGGATTGCAAATTCTCCTCAGCATTCCTCAGTGAAGAACTAAGAGACTCAACCTGTGTCTTTAAATCTTGGATCTCTTGATGTAATGTTTCTGACTGCTCTGAACTTTGTTTTTCCAACATGTTAATCTGTTCCTCTTTAGTCCGGATCTCCTCCATCATGCTCCTCGTCCTTTCCTCAGAAGCAGACAGTTGTTGCTGCAGGAGCTCCTTCTGATGAGCACTTTCCTGCTCCTGCTCTGTAAGAATAACCTTCTGAGCCCGAACTTGTTCCTCAGCTTTTCTGAGAGTGTCCATCAGACTTTCTAGTTGGCCTTGTAGACCATTAATCTCTTGCTCGAGCAATTCAGACTGTTGAGAGCTGTCATTCTTTAGAATAACAAGCTGCTCATTTTTAACCTCCATCTCTTTGTTTAACTTCTGAACCTCTTCTTCATGTGTCACAATCTGCTGTTGGAGTACCTCTCTTTGTTGGGTATTGTCTTGTTGGGTTTTAGCCAATAGGTCTTGCTTAAATTGGATTTCCTGCTCAGCCTGTTTGAGAGATGAGATAAGGTCTTCCACTTGGACTGTCATGGTCTGGATTTTATTTTGAAAATGTTCTTGCTCATTAGACTTCTCCAGAAGTAATTTGGCAAGCATTTCTTCTTTGGCTTGAATTTCATTTTTGTCACTTTTAGTTTCATCTGTAAGAATGTCAACTTCTTCTCTGAGACTGTTAATTTGTTGATCTTTATCAACCAATAGAGAACTGGCAGCAGATAACTGTGTCTCAAGCTCTCTCATTTTTTCTTCTGTCTGGTGGAGAAGGTCTTCCTTCTCTTTCTTAATTTCCTTTAGTTTTTCAACTTCTTGTTCACAAGCAGCAATATGCTGTTGTAATCTGGTCATCTGCTCAATTTTCTGATGCTCAACTTGCTCAAGTTGAAGTTTGAGATCCTGGATCTCTTGCTGAAGGATTGCTCTCTGCTCATTGATCTCCCTTTGCAACTTGTTTAGAATTTCATCCTTGGCATGAATCATTTCTTCACTTTGGGACTTCAGTTGCTTTAGGAGATCCTTCTGTTGAGCTATTTCTTCCTGATACTCTGCCAGTTGCTGTGTTTTGGCCTGAATCTCCACCTCAGCCCTTTTCAGGGAGCAAAATGTGCTTTCCAGCTCATTCTTCAGTCCATTGATTTCAGTCTCATACATTTCTCTCTGGCAATTTAAGAACATAAAGCCATTAGTAACTTTGTAATCCAAAGCAGATTTTGAAAATAAGAAAATGCATACTTTATATTTGATTAGCAAACATTTCTGAATGCAGTTTCATGATTTTACTTTTACATAGAATTATGGACTTTACCTCCATTATAGGCCCCATATTCTCCCCTACTTCTTCTTTAGAGGCCCTGCTTATTTCCTCCTCCAAACATGAAATCTTTCCCTGGAGGATCTGAATTTGTTCAGTCAGTAGATCCTGAAAAACAAGGATGAGCATAGTACATTTGTAAAGTAAAATGTAATGAGAGTAAAAGGAGAATCACTTATTCCATCAACACAAAACTCAAATGCTCTGTCTCATGGGCAGTATATCATAAACGCAGTCAATTCTTAACTATAGTGTGTGCTTTTCTTTCAATTATATTTCTGCCACTTCTAAACCAAATAATTATGGGTACTGGGGCATTCCTGCACATTACTGATTGTTTGCAGAGTTGAGGAAGAAAGGTCTGAGTTGTTATTACGTGACAAGTGATTTATTTTGTAGTGTTTTCATACCAGTGACACAACATTTAAAACTATAACATAATAATGTTATATCACATTTGTTTATTTCTACTGGGTACAACCTGAATCATTCAAGGATTTAACGAACTAAAAGTAGTTGCTAACACAACTTCTGTTCTGTGAAGGAAATACAATATGTACCTTTTGAGCAGTAGTTTGGTTGAGTTCAGACTCTAGGTGGTCTGTTTTGCTTTTCCACTCCTCCTGAGCAGATGCTTGGGTTTCTGTCAGCCTGCCAACTTCTGCCTCAAAGATGGCCAGCTGTGAACATACTGCTCTCATCTGTGAAAATATTCAAATAAAGTTTTTACAATCTGCAATAAGTTTGGATTTCAACATTGACACATGACTCTACTGAGAAAGGGTTGCTACTAGTGCTGAACCCACTGGGACTTGACACCACCAGTATAATATTCGCATGGCTTAGGTTCAGAGGGAAGTCTACTCATGTTGAAACTTCAAAGGACATTGCACCCAACTGTTACTGATTGCTTTCTCACTTATAAAGAAACTAGCAAAGAGATTTAACAGACAGAAAATTTGCACATGTGTCATTACCTGGGAAGAAAGAACACCATTTTCTTCTGTACACTCTAAAACTTTGCGTTCCATCAGTGCGGAGTTACACTTTAGGTCTTTGTTTTCCTTCAACATATCATGAATACGCATTTGTAGCCTAAGACAGAAAAAACAGTTAGCAACTGATTTGTTTTGTAACAGAGGAAGTATCACAGCCTGTAAAAGCAAATAGTATTCACAAACTCAAGTTGAACAAGCGTCTTTGTTATAAAAGGTCTTATTAGCTCTGTCGCGCATTAACATATGAGCCTCACAGTAAATAAAAATGATAGTGTTTGACTCTGTTCTCTGGTACTTACGTGTTGTTCTTGGTCTCAAGCTCATTGATTTGTTCCCTCAAAACTTGCTCCTGATCACCTTGCTCTTCTTTCAGCTTATCAAGGCGGTACTGTAACTGGTTAATATGGGTTTCTGAAAATACAAAGTATAGAACAGAGTTTAATCTGGCTCTTAGGTTACATGCAGGTTCAGTTTAAGACATTTTAAGGCCGCTATAAATGCGATTTAAGACCTATTTCACAACCATAGAGGGAATAAAAGTATTTAAAAGAACAAAAGGATATAAAGGCAAATCGGTATTAGTTACATGTAGGTTTTGTATTGTAGGTGTTAAATGTTCCCCAAAAAACAGATTTAAAAGGGGAGAGTGAAAAACTTTAGTAGCAGCAGTATTCATTAATCCAATCAATTGTTAAGACTTGTCAAAGTCATATTCAAAGACATTTTATGGCCTGAAAATTCAGTTTATTAAAACCCTGCAGACACCAAAAACAAGTTTGTTCAATGTCGTATAAACTTAATAAAACAAACACTTAAATGTGGTACCTCTCTGTGCAATGAGAGCAAGCTTGCTGGCCAGTTCCCTCTCCAACCCATCTCTGTAGTCTCTCTCCTTGATCATCTGTCGCTGCATCTTCCTCAATTGAAATTTAGGTGTGTTCATGATATCCTGCAGAGGAGACTTGCTGTGGGAATAAAAGCAGATCAGATATTGTCAAACTAATAACATTGCATGGACAAACATAAAATGGATATGAGAGACCTGCTTATTATGTGCATATTAGTCAATGTTTTGATGATATGCAAGTAAAACGTTTGGCATTTTGTTATTGTGTGAAAACAAAAATCTTAGTTACTGCAAGGTCAGCAAAGTATGGTGCATCAAACTACTTTCACTACTACAGATTTTCATTACAAAGAATACCAACAAATCAGCTTTCTCGAATGATTAATTTGAGCTGAAGTTCTTGCAAAAGGTGACATGCAGATAATTAATTAAGCTGAAAAATGTCTAGAAATAAGGGTTTAATAGATCGCTAACTAGCACACACTAAGTATTATCATCACATCACATGTTTTGAGTCGACTCAAACACTTCTCAACGGATGATTAAAATCATCAAATTTTCTGGCATAAACAGAATACAATAAGCTTTGTGCTCAAATTCAAATACACACAGATACCTGACTGAGGAAGAAGCCACAGTTTGCATATCCAAAAATGTGATTTTCTGTGTGCGGTTGAAGACAGGGGAGTCACCATCGGACAGCGAGGACATGGTCGACAGACTGGATGTAGAGGTGGTTGCTAGTTCCTCAAATATTTCACGGTTGGCAGGTAAATCTGAAAATTAATGGAGATACATGACAGATTTTACACCTTGCATGTTCAATTCGAACCAGAAAGCTAGTTTTTAAATACAGAAATAGTGTGTGGGTGACACTAATGACTGTTATTATGGCATTATGACATGAAGAAATGGAAGATTAAAAAAGAAATTATGACTTACGTCTCCTTGCCAAATAGGCATCGAGGCTGTGATTCAAATAAACAGAGCCCTCGCTCTCCATCACATATGAACTCGTTAGGTTCGCTATCTCTCGCTAAAAAGATATAAGCAGGGACATATTGGCACAGGATTAAATGACAGCACAACACACGATGAATGAAATGTGATGTATCTCAGTGATAAGACACTTATCTGATTATCCAAAAACAACTCTCCAATTACCTCCACTTCACATTCCAGTGTGTTTAGTGTGCAGCGGTGATTCATCATGTCTTGGTACACGAGCAACAAAAGCACCTGGTGGTATCACAAAGAGTGAGTCAGAATGGGTCTATATCTATGTTTGTCATAATTTTGTTTTTTCTTCATCTTATACCTTTGCAATTTCTACTGTTAGGTTGATGCCATCTACTATGTTGTCCCAAGACAACGAAGTGCCTTTGGTTGCACTGAATCTGCAATCCCCTAATAAAAAAAAATAAAAAAACACATGTTAATTCTCAAAGGACAGAAATATTCAACATCTGTCTGCCTGTAAAAGTGTTGTTCTTTACACACTGACATCACTGTCTGGCATGTTTACAGGTGCAGCAGGAAATACTTAAGACCACACCCAACAGCGATTAGGGGTGTGGTCAAAGGTGCTACATTTGAAATGTTCAACTAGAAGATAACAGAGAGAAACAGTGCCTTTAATGTAGTAAATAACACACTCTGACTACAGTGACATTTTCAGAAACACAGCATGCTTTTTGCAGATTTTATCTACATGGAGTCAGTTGAGTGATTCAAACATGTTAGGACTTTTTTAATACTAAGCTAAAAGGGTGACATCTTTGAAACTGGAGACTTTGTCACATTTTATCACACTTTTATAAAAGGCAATATCTGATCTTTTAAAAAAGGTAGAGAAACTTACTTTCCACAAAGTCTGCTACGATCTTAAACCGATCCTCGATGGAATTAATGCAACAGGAGTTGGATTCATTTTTCCTGAGAGAAGATGGTAAACATTAAAGTTAATTCTAACCAACGAGCACTTTTAATTCTCCATTATTTCCAGAAGCATGTTTAAAATGTTTTACAGTAGTCATTGACCTTCCCTTGTTTACACAGGCCAAGCATTGCAACACATTACTTCTACTTACAGCATGTAAACAATCTTCAGTAAGACTGTCCCATCTTGTAAATCGTCAATAGTTAATGTTATTTCTCGGTCTGACAATTTGATACTGTTAACCTGCAAAAAAAAAAATAGATAGTTTGACAAGTTGCTTAATTAATACAGCTTCAGTGGAATCAACATATTTGCACTTAAAAACAAACGTTACAACTAACTTACCCAGCAAAGAAGAGCCTTGACACCTAAGTTCATCGCCATCTCGGCTGACCCTTTATTTCAAAGGGATTTTAAACCTGAAAGTGAACAAACAAAGTCTAAACAAGCTTATAAATTACAGCAGCGTTGTCCAACTAGGTGACGAACGAGCAGCCTTTTACATAACGCTAGCTGTGCTCATTAAGGTTTACACAGTTTCATCCACAACTAACTGTTAGCTAAATAAAGTTACCTACATTACCGCTACTGTGGATTTGTTTACTGGATGTTAACTTAGTGTTAGCGAGGTTTAGTTAACGCTAACCTGCATTATAATATCTGGCTAACAGTCAGCTAACATTTGCTAACTAACTTAAATTACTGTAACTCGGCGTTAATCTTAAAGACTAATGGTAATAAAAGGTTGCATCCGAGCAGGGACTCACCTGGAAAGCCAACGTCACTTTTTTCTGTATCGTAAGGTTATGAATTGGTTTTGTGAAGACGGGTACGACCCTTTCGTCCCACAAAATTTAAAAAGGGCTGCTCAAGATTGAATCAGCCAATCAGGGTTGAGGAATCGACGCATACGAAAATGGGCGAAGCTGATTGGTTTAAAAGCCGGCCGTCAACTGAGCGTTGCGCTCGATATCTCCACCGGGGTGCTCGGTTTCGAGGTAGGCGGGGAGGAGCCGCTGAAATAAAGTTTAAATGCATTTTTTAGTGTTAGATTTTCTATTTTTCCTTTATGTTTTTAGTCTTAGCATCGCGAAGGTTGCAGCAGATTAAACGCCCTTTAATGTTATCGCAGACAGACTGCCACTTCGCAACCGGGATGAATTTCGGCGTACGCCGGAGTATAAATTAAAGGTGTGTGTAGCGAGCAAGAGAAGCGTCCTACAGGCACACATATAAACACAGTAGTTAACACTTTAATAACTGTTAGCCTGTGTTTATTACGGCGACACATTTAACTCAACAAATGTTCATAGAAACATGATAGAAACATATGGGCAAACGCAGTTTAATCGTAATCTAGATAGACAATATAGTGTAACTACAAATCCCATGATGTACCTGGTCGTTTCCTTGGAAACGGGTTGTTGTCTCTTCGACAGGTAAATGTTTAGGCTACGGGAGCAAGGAAGTGTGTTGTTATTACGCCCGTATGCTTCATTAGTTTGTTGGTAAGTGTGGTTTTTGATTGGTTAATAATTAATTGAAGTAGGTTAATAAGTAAAAATCGGTCCGAAATGGGCAATTATGGTTTGTGTGGATCGATACCATAGAAATGTATGATTTATAGCAGCCTTATATTCCCACCATACTGTTACATGAGAGGGTAGCTATAAATACTAAATACGTATGCTAATGTCAGCAAATTCTGACGTTTGTGTGTTTGTTTTTTAAATTATTATTGTTTACTGGGTGAATGAGCATGATGTCACCGTCCTCCCACAGGTGAGTGGATCTGTTACAGGTGTGAATATGTGTGGAGCTCCAGTGGATTTATCTTTTAAACACATCAGCAGTTTGGCAGGTAGTACACAGTCTCTATCATATTCCTGTAAGGCTTTTCTGTCTCTCCTTATGGTACTTTACACTGTTGCTTATTTTTTAGTATTATCACTGTACGATTATTATTAGATACTAAATGCACCTTTTCTTTAGTGGCTGCACATTACAGTGTCCTGCAGTATACTTGAAATAAAAAAGAGAAATACATTTTCAGTATATCTATGTATATAGTTTGTTATAAGTGTGTATTTAGGCTGTATTATTCTTTTCTAATACAGTTTTAAGCATTTCTTCTACCAAATTAATGTGCAACTAAACAGCTCAAGATCATTTCTCATATTTCTGTGTTGTAAATTCATTGGTAAGTTCTATGGAAACTTAATGACCACAATGCCTCATCTTCTGATTAATACATTTATATGTCTTTGAAACAGTGTGTACCTTGAATAAAATGTTACACAAAATCAAACAAATCCACAGGGCGGTCCTTAATATTTACTGTATTCATTTTATTTGTGGTCTCAGACGCATGGATAGAGGAACCAAGCAGCAGTTTGCGACCTTCAAAGAAAAATTCGGCGATGAAGTACCTAAGCCGCTCCTTGCGTCTCAATAACAACAACATTACTGACCTTAGTGACCTCCAGAAGCCTGTTAGCCACTTCCTGGCTGAGCCGTCACAGCTCGCCTGGCTGGATCTCTCCTTTAATGAAATCTCACACATAGATCAGGTAACCTTCCTCTCGCCATGGCTTGTTTGCATGTTTGCTTGTGGCCTAGATGTCTTTCTCACAGTACACCTGCAGTATGTGTTCACGCGTGTGCTTGTGTTTCCAGGTTTTGTGCGAGCTGCGTGAACTGCGCGTGCTGTATCTTCACGGCAACAGCATTTTCATTCTGTCAGAGGTGGACAGGCTGGGAGTGCTACCGCACCTACACACCATCACTCTGCATGGAAATGTCATAGAAACCAACAAGGCCTACAGGTGGAACACATTTATCCCAATCACACACACACATCCTGCCTAGCTGTAAAATGTTTGGATGTGGGACGCTGAGTGCTCGGCCATTGTTGTTTGACTCTTTATAGAAACTGAACATAGTGACTGACAATAAGCACCAGCAGTAATCCACAACTGCTTGTAGTTTGACTATAGAACTAAACACAAAGTCAGAGTAGAGTGAGGGTTTACTGTGTGTGTTCATCTGAGACATGAATGATTGGCAAGCATGTAGACGCATAACATTGTAACAGGTGCTTAAATGCAGCTCGAGCTCATGTTACGTATCCCAGTCTGCATAGCAACACTGGTCACACACACACACTTAGAGAAAGAGCCACTGTTGGTTAAAAGTCTGTTTCAATGAACTGATTTCTCATGAAACAATACAGGTTTTTGATTAGGTATCTTAATGTATGGTAGATGTAGCACCAGTAACGTAAAGATAAGGTCAACTTTATATAGTTTCTATAGCTATGCACCTCTTTAACATTCAGGTTTGATTTCCTGTGCAGAACATACAAAATGTACTATTTAGTGCACATGCATAACTGTGTCTTTGTGCACGTAGGAATCATGTCATTTCTGCCCTGCCTCGGTTGAAGACGATGGACTTCAGTGCTGTGACACGCCAGGAGCGAGTCATGGCAAAGATTTGGCATCACAGCAACAACCGCAACAGGAGCAGCAAGGAGACTATCCAGTGACGGCCGCTTCATCTCCGTAGGGGGGGGTGGTTGAAATCATGGTTTTACCCAAATGTTCTGTACTCCACATCCACTGAAAGAAAACCTCTAAAATGTTATATAATACGTGTTGTATGTTTGTCTGTGTATCTGTGTTGAAACCAGCATTGTTTTAATGCTTGTTTTATTTTAATCTGCTGAAATGAACAATTTATTAGTCTGGAAAAGAAGTTAACAATCATTCAGTTTAAATAATAGTGACACAAACGTCACTGAATGATCCTGAGATATTGACATACTGTACATTGTTTGAAATTGTGGGCGGTGGAATATTTGAATAATTAGGATTATCTTGTTGTAACAAAGTACCAATTATTGTTAGACTGTCTCTATCGTTGTTCATATTTAATCCAAAAACTAACTATTGTAGCAGCGTGTTGGCCGGAGCGTTACAATCTACGTCGACCCACCGCAGATAAAATCAGACTTTTTGTGATTATTTATTTGTGTTTTTAAATGTATATTAGCTCCTCAGGAGAGCATGCGACTGTATGTTGTGGCAGGGAGCTACGGGAGCGCTTCTAGAAGAGTTCTAACAACCGGATGATCTGCAAGCCTGTGATTATTTCAACCACGCAATAATTTGAGCTTTTTGCAAAAGGGGTTCTTGGCATTTTTTTTTTTTTTTCTGTTTCTGTTTGTTACTCAGATGGTTTATACTACCTGAATATGTTTGTAATATCTTAGGCTAGTACCAAAAACTTTTAAGCATTTCTTTTTTTGTTTTGTTTTGTTTGTTTTTGGTTAATTATTCATTAAAATTTTTCCAACATACAGCCTCGTGTCTTATTAAATAATATTAACATGCATATCTGGGAAGAAGTTGGTTCTTCCCAGAAGAACCAACTT